ACATCAGCCCTAGGTTAGGTGTACCCCCGGGGGTCGAGGAGGGGGGGTACCTCTGCCCTAGAGATCGTGTACCCCCGGGGGTACCCCAGCCCTAGGTTCGGTGTACCCCCGGGGCTCGAGGGTGGGGGGGGTACAGGTACCCTAGAGCTGATGTACGGGGGGTACTCCAACTCGGGGGGGTACAATCGCTCTGTTACAACGGATTGAGTGTCACGCTGAGGGACACCGTGGATTGAGTACTTTCCCGGCCCGGGGGAGATGAATTTCTAAGAAATAGATCACCACATTTTCACACTTGTGGGGGCTACCCGAGTTCATTTTTACCTTGCCTCTTTTTTTGCTATCCCGCGAAAAGGTTGGCGATTTTTGGCGATTTGCATCTTTGGCGGGCGATTTTTGGACACTGCTTAAGCGGCTGGCGACGATTGGCGACTCAAGCGCCCTCTTATGGTGACTTGACTCACTCCGGACCTGGCAACCCTGGGGGGGGGGGGGGGGAGGGTAATACCCAGGTCTGGTCGAAGTCGAAGGTCCGGTACCTCGGGGCGGAGCTGGGGCCGCCGACGAGTCAGTCTGTCAGAGTCAGGCGTCAGTCCAGTCAGGTCAGCTGCTCGTCCTTGTGTGGCGAGGGGCGAGGTGCGAAGCCGTCTCGCGGGCGCGGGTCAGCGAGGGCGAGCTCGTCCCCCGGAGGAGTACCAGGGTACGTACGAGTGCCGGCCTCTGCAGCCGGACAGTGGCCGACATGGCAGAGTTTGTCGTGTTCTCAGAGTTCAGCGTTGCAGATTTAGTCATTTCTTGCTTCTTTTCACCAGAGGCCAACGGGGACACGCGGGCCGACACGCAATAGCCGCCACGATGGAGCGCGCGGGAGACGAGGCCTTCGAGTGTGAAGTGTGCGGCAAGGCGTTCTCGGACGGCGGCCTACTTCGCCGTCACCTCCGAACACACACGGGAGAGAAGCCCTTCGAGTGTCCAGTGTGCGGCAAGAAATTTGCGCAGAAGGGTAACGTTCAGACTCACCTTCGTATACACACAGGGGAGAAGCCCTTCGAGTGCTCAGTTTGCGATAAGAAGTTCACGCAAAGCGGAGATCTGCAAAAACATGTCCGGATCCACACGGGAGAGAAGCCATTCGAGTGTACCGAGTGCGACAAGACGTTTGCGGAGAGCGCTTCACTTCGAATACATCTCAGAACGCACACGGGCGAGAAGCCATTCGAGTGTAACTTGTGCGAAAAGAAATTCGCGACGAGTGGTGCCCTGCATTCGCATGTGCGGGTGCACACGGGAGAAAAGCCACACCAGTGCAAAGTTTGCGAAAAGAAATTTGCCCAATCTACAAATTTAAAAAGTCATGTTCGCTACCACACAGGAGAGAAGCCTTTTGAATGCAGTCTGTGCAATAAGAAATTTAGAACAAGTGAAAAATTGCGACTTCATCTGCGGACCCACACAGGCGAGAAGTCCTTCGAGTGTGCCGACTGCAACAAGACATTTTCGTGCAGGTCAGCTTTGCGTTCACATAGCCGCATCCACACAGGGGAGAAGCGCTATAATTGTAAAGTGTGCAGTAAAGCATTTGCGCGCAGTTCAAATTTGCAGTCGCATAGTCGAACGCACACCGGAGAGAAGCCATATGCGTGTACTTTGTGCGAAAGGAAATTTTCGCGAAGTGAGCATCTCCAAGTGCATTATCGAACTCACACTGGAGAGAGGCCCTTCGAATGCACTGTTTGCGGCAAGAAATTTGCCACAGATGCCACTCTTCGAATTCATCTTAAGTCACACACGGGAGAGAAGCCTTTCGAGTGTACGTTCTGTGACAAGAAGTTTGCGTATCCTGGCAGTCTGCGTGCTCACCTTCGTGTGCACACGGGAGAACAGCATTACAAATATGAATGCTCTGTATGCAACAAGAAGTGTTAGACCAGTTGGAATCTTCGTACACACATCCGCACCCACACAGGAGAGAAGCCATTCGAATGCGGTGTGTGCAAAAAGACATTTTCTGAGAAAGTCAAACTGAAAGTTCATCTCCGAACCCACACTGGGGAGAAGCCGTTCGAGTGTGTCGTGTGCAACAAGAAGTTTTCACAAAGCAGTCATTTGCGCACACATCAGCGAACGCACACGGGAGAGAGGCCTTACGAGTGCACCGAGTGCGACAAAAAGTGTTCGGCGCCTGGCGCTCTAGCTGTGCACCTCCGCACCCACACCGGAGAAAAGCCCTTCGAGTGCGCCGTGTGCAGCAAGAGATTCAGGCAACAGTCGCATCACGACATGCATCTCCAGACCCACACCGGAGAGAGGAAGTATGAGTGCACGGAGTGCGACAGGAAGTGTTTGCACGCTGGCGATCTGCGGGCACATCTGCGCACTCACACGGGAGAGAAGCCTTTCGAGTGCGCCGTGTGCAGCAAGAAGTTTGCACAGAGTGATGGGCTGAGGCGGCATCTTCGCAGCCACACGGGGGAGAAGCCGTACAAGTGCACCGAGTGCGGCAAAACATTCGCGGACCCGAGCAACATGATGGTCCACCTTCGGAGGCATTCGTTATAGCTATCCGGCTGTGGTTCGTGGCGCGCTCTAAAATGTGTCTATATTTATATCTATTTTTAGCAGTGTTTATTGTACGATTAAATTGTATTTAGAATTTTTGAATGATTAAACTTCTAACTCAACTAACATGCGCGTCTTCTGCATTAGAGTGAGCAGGGAGCGAGTCAGTTGTCAACCTACACTGCGAAAAACCCACCCCCTCTCGCTGCTTTGTATTTGTTTTCTTTTTTGGCG